CCTGGGTTCATCCCTAGTATCCCCAGTACCACACACACACACAAATATATATATAAAATTTGCTTTGGCATACAGATTTTCTTTGTGCCAGGCTAAAATTGGCCAGTTGAAAAAGAGTTCCTTCTCAAAGAGTTTAAATAYACATATTATGTTTGAGTGCCTTTTTTCCTCTTCCTTTCCCTTYCTATCTTAACACTTTTTCTGCTTTTGAAATAATTTATCTAAGCCTGGCCCAGGGCACACACGTATAATCCCAGCTAATGTGGASGCTGAGGTAGGAGAATCACAAATTAAAGGCCTGTATGGCAATTAGCAAGACCTTGACWCAAAAAAAGGGATGGGGATGTAGCTCAGTGGTAAGACATCCCTGGATCCAATTTCCAGCACCAATAAATAAGTAAATTTGTTTTGCTTTAATTCCAATTCAATAATAATAATAACCCTAGAAATTAATAGGAAAGAGCATCAAAATACATTRTTTGAATAAGGACATTTACCCAACTTAGTGTTGAACTGATTTCTATGAAATAAATRTATTGTTTTCAATGCTAATTATGCTAAAACTATTTAACTATGTTTTAACAAGTTTCAAAACTTCCATTTTTAGATGATACTCCTAAAAAAGGCATATTGTATAGGTGGGAAAGTATAAAATATTTATGACAGAATTATTCAGTATTATTCATTTAATTTCATGTCTGTTGTTGTACCACAAGTGTAGTGTTGTTGGATTAAAATGTTGGGTGTTTTTGTTATTATGCTTAAAACTGTAACCAGTGAATAACACCTGTAGTATTTTTTATTATAGATTATATTTTATTTCAATAAACTTTGATATTTAGACCAAACAGTCTCTGCTGTGTATATTCATCTTATTAAGCTTGGAAGAATGGGGAGAGAAAGAGCTGGCTTATTGGTTCGAATTTACCTGAGTTATTCCTTAGAATACTTGGACCAGTATTTGAAAAGTACAAGAGGTAGTAAATAAAGAAACAGTGGTGCACCATATAATACATAATACTTCAGATAACTGTGAGCCTTTCAAAGACAGGGATAATATCTTTTTCATTTTAATTTTCATGGTCTTTGGCACTTAGAACTCAAATATCTGTTTAAAGGAAACTTTTAAATGCCTATATTATGTAGTTAGTTATACTTACCTGTGCTTTACATAGTAAGATAATTAAGTAGGGTTATTAGTTTCTCCTTTTACATAAAAGTTATATAGATAGTATTCAGATCTTTAGTCCATAAGGCCCCTTCGGATTTTCCCTGGTTATCATCATGTCACCTTGTAGAGCCAATAAGAGAATAGTTAGAGAACAGAATACTTAGTAAAAATGTAGCAAGCAGAATTTTTCTTTCCATTTTGTGCCAATCTTGTGGAGTCTACTCACTTTATATTATWCTWTGAAGTAGGCATTTCATTTGTGATCTGAGACCAAGATGTCTGATCCAAGAGCCTGTACAAGCAAATTTATCTGCAAGGATTCAAATAAGTCTAGGCCATATCTATGTTCAAATTCTGACTCTGGACTTTTTAATTTGTATCTGTTTCATATTCTACAGGAATGTTCCAATTTAAGCCTACAGCTAGGTGTGGAGGCATGTGACTATAGTCCTGACTGCTGTGGAGGCTGAGGCAGGAGGCTCAGAAGTTCAATGCCAGACTGAGCAAATTAGCAAAACCCTGTCTCAAAACTTCAAAGTGTTGAGGATGTAGTTTAGTGGTAGAGCACCCCTGGGTTCAAACTCAGTGTCACACACAAAAGAAGAAATAAAATCCTTCTGTTGTTTTTGTTAAGCTTGTATTAAATCTATAGATCAATTTGGAGATAATAATTAACATTTAATCTCAATCCAATGAATATGATTATAAATTAAATTTCATCAAAATTTAAAATGTTTGGGGTTGGATGTGGGGAGCCATTCTCACACGTGACTGGGYGACTCCCGGTTTGGGTCTGAGGCGCTCTGGCTGTGTCGGAGCTTTCCCGGCCCTCTCCTGATGAGAGAACCCGTCCKTGTGGGGGTGTGACTGACCACTGACCCGGGGGCCCAATCACTGACCCTGACCTTGGAGTGCAGCCCCCCTCAACCTTCATTGGAT